AACCTAAAATTCAAATTCTGAACTCTATATATAAAAGACCCTTAAAATAACGTCGAAAATATTATGTGAATATTCATTTGCAGATATTATAATTGCACTTCGTTAAGAACTGTGCCTGGGGAAGATTTACAGAAAAATTTATCCTTCTTATCAATCTAAAGTTCAGATTCAGAACTTTATGGAAAGTTTTAAATTATATGAAGCGTTGCTAAAATATTTTCCAAGATGCACCGAACCTTAAATTCTGAACTTTATACATGAGAGTTATTTAACACGAGCATCGATAATATTGTATGAATTGCAGTTAGTACAACTGCGATTCATTACAGGGGCTGCTGTGCTGGGGTAGGATTTCAGGAAAAGTTATCTTGTTGAACTACCGGAGAAATATTCCTCGTTAGCATTTCTTTTGAATTTAGACGGGAAAAAGAAATCCGTGATACTAAATTTACTGCCGGCTCGTCGTAAAACTCGAAACTGAAATAATTTAATATAAGACGCGCTTTACGTAAGACTTTTACGTTGGCTGTAACGCGCGTCTGCATGAAAATTCAACCGAGAAACAAAAGGAAAATTGTACACGTGTCCAATTGAGAAGAAACTTCTGTACAAAACTGATCCCTTTCCCTAACACCGTCAGTTTCCAGAATTGTTTAAAAGTTTATAATATTCCTGTTGCCACACAAATTGTCTGACAAATAATGGATACAGTCTTGGTAGTAATTTAATTAAATAAATAATAAAATAAATGAGACCATGAAACGAGGGTTTAAAATATTACGTTTTGAATTTGCTATTAGTAAAAATTGCCAGATTTTAAATATTTTTGTACCTCCTTGAAGTTTTCTCAAAACTGGCTTTCATTTCGGGGAAAGTTTTAGACGAGACAGACTTCTATAATTATGAATGGAAAATTTGCTGGTTTCAAGATTTCTGTTCTTCTTTGAATTTTAGAAGTATTGGTATTTTTCTGAATAATTTCTACAAATTATAATTCTCGTGTGTT